AGCCAGGGCGCTCTCACATGGGACGCGCTCTGCTCAGCCACAATCCAGGCTGATGGCTGCCAGTACAGCGGTGGTGGTGGGAGCCTCTCTTGCCTCCTCAGCAGCGCTAAGGATGTCTGACAGCAGTTTAGGCCTGCTCCCCGCTGGCAAGTTGACATCCCCCGAGGGCTGTAGGGCTGCCAGAGGCATGTCTGATTGCCATCGTAGGCCCCCAGGGGATTGGGCCTAAGTCAGCAGGTGGTCATCCTCTGAGGGGTCCCAGACTGCGAGAGGGCACAGGTCTGGCTGAGGGAACGCCCCCTCCCCCCCGCTCCAGTGCACAAGTTTTTGTGCACCGGGCCTCTAGTATATATATAATTGTTGCCAATCCTCACCTGAGGATCATTTTTCCTATTGATTTTTAGAGAGAGAACGGGAAGTAGGGAGGGGGGATGGAGAGAGAGAGAGAGAGAGATAAAGGAAGATAGAGATAGAGAGAGAAACATTGATGCGAGAGAGACACATTGGTTGGTTGCCTCCTGCATATGACTGGACTGGGTCAGGGATCGAACCTGCAACTCAGGTATGTGCCCTTGAGTGGGAATCGAACCCATGACCCTTGGGTGTGCAGGCCAATGTTCTAAGCCACACTCGCCAAGGCAACAATTATATATTTTTAAAAACAGTTTAGCTGAGGATGCACTATTTACTTACTGTGACTTGCTTTTTTCCCAGTTTCAATGAGTTCAAATACATTTCAGACTGATAGCCTTAAACTCAGAAGGTAAGTCAATATATGTTCTGTTATAAGAGTTTAATTTGTATTAACTCATTTAATCCTCACAACCCTATCAGCCCCTCCTTTCACAGATGGGAAAACAAGGCACAGAAAGCAGTCAAGTTACCTGCCCAAGGCTAGTAAATGAAGCAATAAAGATTTAAACCCAGGTAGCCTAAATCAATGGTTCAAGCTCTTAACCAGTATGCAATCTTTTAGAATAAATTACATTATAAATCTCTCATAAAAACTGTATTATAAGTTTGACTTTTTAACTTCCTTTTAGTGGGGGAGTCCCCACTTTCCTAGTCATTTTATTCCAAAGGAGACCACCTTTGAGGATACTACTGAAAAGCTAAAAAAAGCATGATCTAGAAACCTCTGGTTTGTCAGTCAGGATTTCAAAACAGAGATCTCAACTGTTGTCAATGATTCTCTATGACTGAAGTTGTCAACTTACAGCACAGTTCTCAATAACATTATGAAATAGCTAAAAACGGGATGGAGGTTTTGTTTTTTTAATATATATATATATATATATATATATTTTAGAGAGGAAGGGAGAGAGAGAGAGAGCAATAGAAACATCGATGATGAGAGAGAATCATTGATTGGCTGCCTCCTGCATGCCCCCTACTGGGGATCAAAGCCACAATCCGGGCATGTGCCCTGACCAAGAATCGAATCATGACTTCCTGGTTCATAGGATGATGCTCAACCACTGAGCAATGCCAGCCAGGCAGGTTTTTGTTTTTTTAAGCATCCTTCTAGCTTTTTAAAGGTCTCTCCTTCTAGCCCTAGAAAATTCTCCATTTCACTGTTCCAGGAATCAAAGACACAGCCTATTCTGGCTGTTGGTGATTAAGCCTGGCTAAGGGATTTACTGGTAATCAAAAGATTAACTGTAACATGTCGGAAACTTGGTCATCAGAAAGCCTATAACTTCCTGGCACCCATTTAGCCCCTTACTCTTAAAACACCAAGAATCTTCATCTCCTCTTCATCCTTCCTCTATAAGTGAATGCATGTTTCTGGTTCTGTGGAGTCTGGGAGAAGGATATTAATTATATTCTCTAACTCACTTATAAAGCAACTAAAACAAAACAGAGAACAAAAAGCTAGAAAGGCTACCAAGTTAAATTCTGTCTATCAAAGTTAAGGGGAGTATCTTGATTGTATTTAGGGGCAAAATTATCTCACCGACACAACACCTTGCAGATCTCTGCATTTTGACCTATCCCTTCACTCCCAGATGGCAATGTATAAACGAGTGTACTTTCACATTAGAGTCAAATAAATGACGAATGCAAAGGCAATCCTAAGCTGAACTGAAAACAAGCCCTCTGAATGACCTATAAAATCTACATGGAAGTGACATGAACAAAACATCTGTATTCCTATTACAGACTAATTAAAGATCTAAGAAGAGCAATCCTCTGTACCCTGGCCTGGGCAGAGAACATAGCAGATTGTTACTTTTAGATCTAGGCACCATATTTTAAGAGGAACCAATGGTCTGGGGTATGTAAATAGCAGAAATAAAGCATTTAGAATTTATATTATATGTGAAATAGAAGAAATGAGTAAGGTTTGTATGTACCTGTGTGCATTATTAGAGTTGTGGTGAGTCAAGAAAGCATTAAGATACATGAAGGAAAGCTGAACGTTAAAGAAAATTAAATTTACTTATTGTAGCTCTAGAAGAACCAGGAATGGGAAAAGAGGGATCATTGGAAAGACAGACTTTTTTAGTGAATGACAGTATTAGATAATAACACAAGCAGCCGAGTGAGGTGAAGTTGTGTACTTCCTACCACTGAAGCTGCCTAGTCGCCACCTGTCATAGGTAGTATAGAGTTGACAATATTTTTAGTAGGCCCCTGGACCCAATGATTTCCTGGGATAATTTTAATCTCTAATATGTCATGACTCCAAAATGCTGTTCATGTTCTCTTCCTTTTTGGCTCAATTTTGCTTTTGTTTTTCTTCAGGTGTTTGGTCTTTTATCCATTTTTCCCTATTAATAATCATCTCACCCATGCAGTCAGCCTCCTAAAGTAAGCTTATTTTTTCTTTCACCTCGCAAATAAACATGTTTGATGAACAAAGACACCATGGGAGAGCCACCTAAGCAGATGTGCCTTCTTAAGTTAACTCTCTCAAGAGTGAGTCTCTTTCATCACTTATTCCAAACAAAACAATTAAAAACTACAATAAAAATTATTAGACCTGCTAGTGTGGCTCAGCTGGTTGGAGCATAGTCCTGTGCACCAAAGGGTTGCAGATTTCATTCCCAGTCAGGGCACATACCCAGGTTGTGGGTTTGATCCCTGTCTGAGCTCGTACGGGAGGCAAGAGATCCTCTCTTGCTCTCTCTCTCTTCCTCCCTCTCAAAAATCATTTGCTGCAATCTTAATAAAGACATTTCCTCAGGTGAGGATTAAAATATTTTTTATTAGAATGTGAAAATAAGAAGCAATGGTTAACCAGAATGCAACTCAAAATATGCATTTAGTCATGTCCTCACATGCATTGCAGAAGTCGATCCATTCTACTTTAAGTGCTTTGGAGATTTGCTCTAGACTAGGAAATGTGTTAACTATTCCAGGACACTAAAAAATGTACAAATCTGATGAACTCGGATTTGTAATTATTCTCCTCAGTATTTACAGATAAATAATAAGAACAAAACAATAAGTTAGCAACTTCCACAAAATTTGCCAATAGTACACATGGACAGACAAACCTCAAAATTCTTATCAGGCAAATTCTAGGTAACTACTATTTATATTTTAGTTTAATAAAAAAAATTTTCCCACCCTGGCTGGTTTGGCTCAGTGGATAGAGTGTTGGCCCACAGACTGAAGGGTCCTAGGTTCCATTCTGGTCAAGGGCATATACCTCGATTGCAGGCTCGATCTCAGGGTTCTGGTCATGGCGCGTGCAGGAGGCAACCAGTCAATGAGTCTCTCTCACATTGATGTTTCTCTCTCTCTGACTCTCCCCCTCCCTTCCACTTTCTCTAAAAATCAATGGGAAAAAGTCCTCAGGTGAGGATTAACAAACAAAGAAACAAAAAATTTCTCAATCCTATTCTCCAGGAAGAAAAGCTATAAAATATAAATACTAACCAAAAAAGGAGCGTATGAAGGAACAATAAATATTGGTGTTCCATTTAATATCAGTGTCTTCATGCACAAAACTCCTTACCTCTAAATAGGACTTCGTTTCAGAAGACAAAACAAAGACAAAACAGGAGAAGAAATCAAAGGGTTGCAGACTTTGATTCACAAGGCATAACCTTTCTAACAATGAGAGCTATCAATGGATTTTGTTAGGTTCTTATGAGAAGAAACTGCCTAGCAAAATAGCAATTAAGAGTTTGGAAAACATCTTTCCAGGGGCTGTAAAATAAAATCCTCTCATGGTAAAAACAGTTCTTCTAATTCTAAGATTGCAGCATTGTTTTTATCATTACCTTTCCCACTCTGGAAAATCTTCAAGACTCTGTCTTGTAAATGTCACCAACCCAGTAGGTTCTACAAAAGCAATGAAAGAAAAACAAGTTTCGATTTTGAAAAGATTATACATATATTCAGTAAAAGAATGGGTCTAACAATGGCTATAAAACTAGTTTTGAAATTCAACAGAAGATTGATTTAAAATAATATCATCCTTACAGTAGGAACTCTTTCTATGAAATAACATGTCCTCACTAAAACAAAAAAATACACAAACAGCAGCACAACAGGAGGATGTGAGTGCTGATACTTTTTTAATGTCATTTCTAAACTGCAAACACTTTTAAGAAATAATTTGGGGGAAAAGATGCAAAAGAGTGTAGCTTACATAATAAAGACAAAACTGGATTTTAATCTGTAGATGGACTCATTCTCAAAGAAGAACTTTAACCCTACATCTAAAAACTGGTGAATGTATACATATTTATGTTTTATAATGAAAAAAAATGTCTAGGATTAAAAAAAGAAAATTGTTGGCATGCCTTTGGAGGTGACAGCCAAATCCAGGGCTTAGATGATATGCAATTGCTCTTTTTATAAGGTGCCTTAGGCGGAAGGAGGAATTACTGTGTTCTAAATGATTAGAGAAGAAAGATGACATAGTTTTCAAGTAGCAATACATATAAGATCAAAACACAGTAAATTTTAAAGGATATGATCCTTTTTTGTTAGGTTTATTTTTTAACTAGTAGCAAAAGCAACAAATAAATCAGCTGGCCCAAAGTAATTTGTTTGATTCAATCAAAGAATAAACTAAAAAAGCCAGGCCATTTTTGTTTTCTCCTTTTGTTGTTGTTTGTTTTGTTAAGCTCTTATGCAAAGAGAAATGTCAGTTACTATTAGGGATAATGGTGGTAGAGTTCCAATGAAAGCTTAGTAATCATTTCATTCCTTTGGATGATTCTACATTTCTGTACTTTCAGTCACAAGCATTAATAACTCAAAAATCATATGGAGTATTTATATTAAAAAACAGAATTTTGTTAACATGAGTTATAAAACATTTAGATGTCTATCTTCAAGACAAATGGATAGCATATTTAAAACTCACAAGAAGTCAAACAATTCAAATACTAGAGAAGTAATTCTATTAATAGAAAACTAATGTTAGTATTATCAGTCACGAACATCAGTCAGTAAGAGAAGTAAGAACATTAAATGTCCTTCATATACACTAGGAAAGATCAAAAGAAATTCATAAATGAACACTACTGGCAAAGTAAAAGAAAAGGCATATAAACATGGTTCTTAAGATATCTATAGTAATAAAAGCGCAATATGCTAATTAGACTTGATCTCTTCTGGACAAAGCCACGGTGGTGGGGGCCAAGGCAGAGGCGGTTAGGGGTGATCAGGCCGGCAGGGGAGGGCAGTTAGGGGGTTATCAGGCCAGCAGGGGAGTAGTTAGGGGGCCATCAGGCTAGCAGGGGAGCAGTTAGGGGGCAATCAGGTAGGCAGGGGAGCAATTAGGGGGTGATCAGGCTGGCAGGCAAGTGGTTAGGGGCACTCAGGCAAGCAAACAGAGTAGTTAGGGTCAATCAGGCAGGTCAGCAGTTAGGAGCCAGCGGTCCCAGATTGCGAGAGGGATGTCCAACTGCCAGTGGGATCAGGCCTAAACTGGCAGTCGGACATCCCCCAAGGGGTCCCAGATTGCAAGAGGGTGCAGGTTGGGCTGAGGGACCCCCCCACACACACACACGAATTTCGTGCACCAGGCCTCAATTAATAACAAAAACACCTTGAGAGCATGCCTATTACCTTTCTTCCATAAAAAAGCACCTTTCATGCCAGAATAAGTTATTTTGGTTGATTAAATGTTTTCCTTAATAATTCAAAATATACACTGCATATGAATCATTAATTTTTAAATATTCCACCTATAAGATACTTTATTTAAAACTATATTGAAAATAATTTAATTCAGAAAGCCCTTTAAAATCTTTCAGTCTCAAGATCCTCATTACAAATATTGATGTTTGGCAACACTCAAAAGTTGGTCCTGATGGAATTGTATTTTATCAATTCTAAAAGCACATTTTTTCATGTATTAAATTTCTGAAAATGAAATACATCTTTCATAGTCCAAGGTATCTATCCATCGCATTTGGTCTGGATTAAAGTCAACCCTTTCCAGAGAAGATGTGCATCTGCTTCTGCCACCATCTAAGAGCACCACCAACCTCAGCTCGGTCTGAAGTAAGCCCTCTGTTGCAGGCTTTTGTGGATCACCCTGGTAATATGACTTTGGACCCCAAACTTGATTCACATTCTCAGAGGATATTTTTTCCCCTCTCTACCCAGTGCCAACATTGACAGTGGTTTGCTTACTGTCCCTTTTCTGTACAGCCAGGTTAACTCCTCATGTATCCTTAGACTAAGGGTGTAGGCTTTTGGTGTGCCAGCTTTATCAGCGAGGTCTCCAATGATTCCCCATCCTGAGTGTTTTTTCCTTCTTAGTGGTACATAACATAATGGCACTTCCTACCATCTACAATATCCTAGATTTGATGAAATATATGGTACTTTAAATACATTTCTTTTTCCATCTTTTTAAAAACAATCTTTTCTCCTTAAATGTAAAAACACCTCAGTACAGCAGAGACAGACACGAAGGGCAAGTGGGTGGGTTTGTAATTTAATTGTTTTAAACCTCAAATGAACAGGACTGCTGCTGTCGCGCGGGATCCTCCAGAGACACTGGCTGCAAAGGTTCGACCTCCAGCTGGGATCTCCTAATGACCCTGTGGCTGAGCTCACTGCAGCGGTGGGGCAGGGGCCCCTGAGCAGTGACAGTGGACAATGAGCCCTTGCCATCCTAGAGGTGCCAGACCTGGGTCTCCTCTGACTGGCTGGTGGGAGGTGGACCCTGTCCATCAATGTATTGAGGTGGATGTAAGCTATTCGAGCTGTGTCCTCTCTGATCACATGGACATGTGGGTTCAGGATGATGGCATGAATGCACTTGCTGTTCTTGGACAGAAGATTCTCAAAGCAAAACTTACGGAAATTCATGCCCTCCACAAGGTTACCAAGGCCTTCAGGCTCAAAAGAAGTGAGTCCTGGATTACAAATCTTTCTGCAGGCCTCAAAATCTCCATTGTTGATGACCTCAATCAGTTGTTCTGTGATTTGAATGATCTCCTGTTTTCCCATATTGAGATCCTTGTCTTCAGTGGTGGTGTTGCAGTTCTCTGTGGAGTCCTTGATCACATCTGTAATGTTACCCACCATAGTGGTTTATGGCGCCTTGTCACCGCCACCCGACCTCTTGCTCAATAGGCTTTAGGCAGCTTAAAAGTTCCTGGAGACAAGTAATGGTCGTGAGGATGCCACCCTTCAGTTTCCTCCGGGCACTGAACTTACGCAAGCACTCCGCAGTCTCCTGATGATGTATCATGGATACCACCGTGGACCGTTAGCAGAACCGTGGATGCTTGAGAGCCTGGTCAGCTGAGATATGTTTTGCAGGGTTGTAGTTAGCATCTGGTTGATCAGTTCTTGGCTTCAGGGGTCACTGTCCCACTCTGGATGGGAAATCATAGGCTCCAGCCTTGATCTGCTGATATAGCTTCTGTTGGTCCTCATCCTGAAAGAGAGGATATCCCACCAGCAGAATATCCAAGAAGACTCCACAGGTTCTGAAACCCACTGGTTTTCTATAGGCATCTTTCCTCAAGACTTCAGGGGACAGCCCTAGCTTGTTTGCTCAGTGGATAGAATGTCGGCCCACAGACTGAAGGGTCATGGGTTCAATTCCGGTCCAGGGCACATACCTCAGTTGCAGGCTCGATCCCCAGCCCTGGTCAGGGCACATGTGAGAGGCAATCAATCGATGTGTTTCTCTCACATAGATGTTTCTCTCTCTGTGTCTCTTCCCTTCCCTTCCACTCTCTCTAAAAATCAATGGAAAAAATATCCTCAGGTGAGGATTAACAACAACAACAAAGGCTTCAGGAGACAAGTAAGCTGAGGTGCCAGTAAAACCAAAGTAAGCCTGCTGTTCTCCCTGTACTTGGATGGCTAGGCCAAAATCAGCCAGCTGCCCGCAGCATCCTTGCTTGTACACATCAGCAGCAGTTTCTCAGGTTTCTGGTCCCACTGGACAATATTACCCTAGTGGATGCAGTTAACGCTCTCCAAAATCTGATGTAAATAGTGGCTGGCATCAGCTTCATCATAGGATTCTTTGGATATGATGTCTACAAACAGCTCTCCACCAGTAACAAGATCAAACACAAGGTAGTGAAACACTTTTTCTGAAATATTGTGATGGGAATGCACAATGGATGTCTCAAAAGTCAACATATCCAGGCCTCACGTTCTAGTTTCTGGTGATCCCGGGCAGACCAACTTCTTGGTATTGATTTTTGCTGTATACTGCAGGATGGAGGTTTTCTTCACACACCTGTGGACCACAGGAAGGCACCTTTGCCAAGCTCCTTGAAGAGCTGGTAGTTGTTGGTGAGCGTAGCCCATGCTGACATTGGTGCAGTCACCATCACCCCACCAAGGGAGCAAGAGGAGGAGACCTAAATACATTCCTATAGTTTCTATTCAGTAGACTCTACAACTTCTGTATAAGGTAATTATTAAATTGCAAACCTCTTTTATTCCACTTAGTATTTCCTCCTTAAGCCTGTAGCTTTACGTCCTGAAAACCTATAGTATGCTTCTCTATATTTCTACAAAGAACTACATTACCATATATAGTAAAAAAGCCAGAACATAAAATGTCTAATTACAACTTGTTTTTTCAGTGTGATTAATTTCTAACACTTAGGATGGTTTATAAATTTCTAGTTGAAAAAAAGAATAACACACAAAACTTTAGCCTGGCTGATGTGGCTCAGTGCTTGAGCATCAACCTATGAACCAGGAGGTCATGGTTTGATTCCTGGTCAGGGCACATGTCTTGGTTGTGGGCTCGATCCACAGTAGGGGGTGTGCCGGAGGCAGCCCATTAATGCTTCTCTCTCATCATTGATGCATCTCTCTCGCTCTCTCTCTCTCTCCCCTTCCCTCCCTCCCTCCCTCCCTCTTCCTTCCTCTCTGAAATCAATAAAAATATATTTAAAGAAAAATAAAACTTTAGCTTTTTTCCTCAAATTATTTAAAATCCTAAAATGTAGAAAGGCAAGTTAGCTTTTCTACAGGACACATAGAGAAGCCTAGAGAAGATATACATGATTTGACTCCAAGGACAGAAAAGTAAACACTGAATTACCTAAGTATAATAATGAAACTCATTCTATTTAGATTTAGAATAGCAAAAAAGTACTTTTTTCTAACGAGTTATTACAAATTTTAATTTGGTGTTATGTATCATAGCCTGAATGAGCCTTCATTTTCCTTAATATTTTATTCTGTACCGAGCACAAAACTAAAAATTGATAAGCTAAGAAATAAATAAACCCGTCAAAGAAGCATGTAAAAATTTTCCCTTAAATTCCCAAATCCTAATAATTGATTCCTTATAAAAAAAAAGGGGGGGGGGGACAATGTCCAATAGCAATACACTGGGGGTCTGGGTCGGGGAGGTGCCAATTAAATATACTATAATGAGAGATACTTACAAAAGGAAAAAAATGACCTTAAAATGATTCAATGGTACATTTCAAGATAATCCCACAACCTGTATGACCAGAACTAAAAAGAATTCATTACTCATTTCACTTGACCAGAGTTAGCAAAAGCAAGCTTTTGAGAAGTTTTGGTTTGCTTTAAAACCAACTTGTAAGAAAAGCCACCCACTGGTAAAAGCTAATATTTATTAAGCATGTAGCTTCATTTAATATTTACAACTAGCCTATGAGATAATTATCATCATTCTATTAAGATGAAGAAATTGAGGCTTAGAGATGTTAACAAAGTGTCTGTAGCTACGCAGCTCCTAGGACAGAAGTGGCAATAGCAATCTACAGTCAGTGGTTACTAAGAGCACTGGTTAGATATTTACCACCACTGCCATAGGGGCTGCAATTAGCCTCTGGGGAAACAAGATGGTTGAGGTTCAACAGAGGAAGACAGACATGTGAACACTAAGTGAAACACTGCTTTATAAGAACTCTGCAAAGGGTTTAAAGGGGACACAAAAGAGAGGGACCTGTAGGAAGACAATGAATTGCTTGACTTCTACAAATAAACTAACTATAAAAGTCAATGCTTCTTTAAATAAAGAACACCAAAAAATGCATTTCCTGGTCAACATACTTCCTTTTGAAAATATTAATTTGTTTTTATTCATGAAAACACATTATGGTATGTTACGCTGCTCTAATTTTAGAATATATAAGACCCACACACACTCATGGCATACATTTATGTATATACACATGTATATAAAATCTAGATTATAATGAATTACTTGGTTTGGACAGGAAGGTGTACTTTGAACACAAAATGTTCTTGATCTGAACTGTCTCCCATCAGTGATAAAAATTATAGTTAAGAATGAAAGGAATTTACTTTTCTCTGTGACTCTTCTGAAGTAGCAGAAGAGCGTTTTAAGCTTCTCTGGTTTTCTTGAGGAACGTCCTTCAAACAACCTGAAAGAGACCAAAAACAAAGATTCACAAAGAACTAAATCTATATCATTACCCAGTAATAAAATAATTAATTCTTTCAGAAAGCAATTCTGTAATAATAAAGAACTGAAAACTGTTTGGATTCAAATGGCATCAGAAAGGACTGAAAGCAAGTAGAACCAGGCTTCTTAAAAGTTGTTCAAGTCAGCCCTAACTGGTTTGGCTCAGTGGATAGAGCATCAGCCTGTGGACTGAAAGGTCTCAGGTTCGATTCTGGTCAAGGGCATGTACCTTGATTGCGGGCACATCCCCAGTAAGGAGTGTGCAGGAGGCAGCTGATCGATGTTTCTCTCTCATCGATGTTACTAACTCTCTATCCGTCTTCCTTCCTCTATATTTTATTGTAAAAAAACAATAAAATATATTTTAAAAAAAAAAGTTGTTCAAGTCAGATGGTACTCTAACAACTCGTCTCTCCAGTCTATCTTCCTCCAAGGAGAAGGCACCACCTGGTCCCCCAAAGACAATTAAGCCAGTGAATTAATGCTTGGTTTTTTCCCCAATGGCAAATATATTTATAATTCACAATATTACTAGGCAGTTAAATGACTGAATAAAGACAGTATCTGAAAAAGACTGCACATCATTGTTTGTGTTGGGGATGCAAGAACAATAAGGACAATGACATGCAGTATAACAAGATATTAGAGTAGAGGAATGACCAAACCTTGGAAATTAAATAAATACACTCTTTGCGTGGTAACCTGTTAAATAGTGCTATCCATCTGCCATCTGGTTTCCAGAAACCTAGACTTGTACTACTTTAGTTTTCTTTGAAATGATGTGGCATTGTTATTGGTAACACATTATGCAATTTATCCCGAGGGAAAGAAAAGAAGGGCTTTAGAAGCATTTGGCCTGAGTAAGTAGTTCACTAAAAGATTTCAATCACAAAAGCATGCTTTTAGGCACAAGATCTACTTTTCCAAAAGCACTGAAAAATTAGAGAAATTCTGTGACTATAAATAAGGAGATATTATTTATCTGCCTCTGGTCATATATCCTGGCTTTAAAACCAGAAATGCTTCAAGTAAAAGTTCACTTTAACAAGCGTCAAAATGGATAAAATTTTTCTTCAGAAAAGCACGTTTATATAACTATGCAGAAAGGAAAAAGTTAATTTCATGACAAAATCCTATTGAGTAAATAAAATGAATTAGAAAAAGGGAAGGAAATACAGATTTCAAATTACTTGTTTCCAGTGATCTGAAATTCTGTATTCAGAGTCAATTTCTGAGAAAACAATTTATCTGAATACTTATCTCCTAAAAAGAATACTAATAATAGAAAGCATTTTAACCAAATCTAAAATATGACCGATTTTTTAAAAGAATTGTGCCTATGTAATAATTTTTACTCGCCTAACTTATTTTTCTAAAATGTTTATTACAAATATTCTTAAAATCCAGCTGCCTGCCCCCCAAAAAAGGATATCTGACAGTGCAGGTTTCAGCTTAGTTTCTTCTGCAGTGTCAACCAGAATAGAGTTTGTTTAAATCAAAATGATGGTCAGAATAAAGAAGAAGCCACTTGGCAGTTTAATTAAACATCCTGTATGAAATAAATATGATTTACTAAGTGAACACCTTGGAATCCATTGCAAAATCCTTTTCTAGGTTTACTACTTAGTAGAGGGAAGCAGTATTAATATAAAGGCAGCCACCACCCTTTCTCAGAGATGAATTGAGGACTATACAATTCAATTAAGGAGGAAAAAGTTCCACTTCCCCAGAACTGTTGCACTACGAGAAGAAAATGGCTGCTGAACTTAAATAATTTCCCAAAACATAAAAAATATCCCTAATTTCTACATGAGATCAGCTATATGTAAAATCACATAATTCATAACCATGATGACAAATTATTAACCTTAGGAGCCTCTTGGGACTGCAGATTTATTAACCTAAGGATATGACTTCCCTGAAAGATGATGTGGCTATTACCACCAACTACAAATGAGCACCACTGTTGATTTTGCAGGTCCAAACCTCATAGGTACAAATCAAGCAGAACCTCAATGTATTCTGATTAATCATTGTGTGTGAGTTTCACAGCCTGATTTCAAATCACTATGTAACCAAATATGCTTTGCCATCTTCCTTGTGAAGCAAGGACGTGTGTGGGGGTTGGAGGCACAGAGGAAAGGGGGAGGTGGAAAGAAAGACGGGGAAGATGATGCAGGTTTAAAACTTATGACAATTCTCAGACTTCACTGCTGTGAATTTTTATAGTACTATGTATAGCCACCCAGATAAAATGAATTACCCTGGTATGGAAGCTAGTGAAAAATAACATAAAAACACAGGCAAACAGCATTAGTGAAAGTTATCAGAAGAGTGATGTATTATCTGAGGAACAGTTCTAGGGAGAAAGAAGGAAGACAAAGGAACTGAGGATGGAGCCAGAAAAAGGAGAGCGACAGAAAGACACTAGTACAGCAGGGAAGACTAAGAGGGAAGAAAGGGATAGACAGAATGGGGCTGGAGACAAAGGTGGAGTCTGAGAAACAGAAACTCACATGCAAAGACACTCAGAGAGACAAACACAGAGCCTTCAAGAGAGACAAGAGACTGGAGACAATTAGATTTCTCATACTAATCAAGCACCATCCAATTTTTTTTTTTTTTTACTTCCTAACACCAATTTTTTTTTTTTAGATTTAGATTTCCAGGTCCTGGGTACATATATTTGAAGGCATATTTTGAGTCAGCAGGCATGCATGTAAACATGAACATAAATCATGCCATAATAACCCCTCTGCATATAGGGAAGACATTTTGGCATTTAATTGAATAATTACAGATTATTAAAGAAAGCAAACAGGAAGAGTTAGGCAACCTCACCTTTGTTCTAAAAATACTTTTTATTTTCAAGGGAGTAAGTCAATCAGAGTTGATACTTATTAACTGGTATTTTTCTTTCCATACATAGAAACATCTGTAATAATAAAGAGCTAATATGCTAATTAGACCAAATGGTGGAACAACCTTCCAGAATGACCAGTGGGCAGGGCAGCAAGACGGTGGGGCCACAAGGCAGCCAGGGCCAGGAGGGCCGAGGTAGCCGGGGCTGTGAGGGCCGAGCCCCTTGCACAAATTTTGTGCATCGGGCCTCTACTAGTTTCATAAAATCTTTCCCTGAATGACATATTGATAACATTACTGGAATTGGATTACACACGCACACGCACACACACACACACACACACGCACACACACGTGATTTCAAGTTAAGGATTAATTCCATTAGTACACAGTAAATCAAACCCAAAGCACAATAACCTCCACTATAAAATGGAAGCAAATGATAATCTGAAACCCAGCCAGAAAGTCCTTTCTGCCATATGGCCCCAGCAGCATTTTCAATCCAGAAGAGGCAGATGTAAAAGCCTCCTGGGCTGACCACTGCTGCAGCACACAATTAATCTCTGACCATCAGTTTCTAAGCAATCTTAGAAGCATCAATGTTAATCACATTGGGAGCCTTTATATGAATGTTTAGGCCCTGAAAGGCAAGCAGTAGAAAAGGTCACGGACATTTAACATAACTAAGCAGGGCTGGAAGAACACAACAATAATTTAAAAAGGAAGACTTAGTCCATTTATTGACGTCAGCCTCCCACCACAAACTCTTAACCATTTTTCTTATTCAATCAACTAGCTAGTCATACCTCTTTTGAGACTAAATATGCAAGAGTGCTCACACACGCATAGATTCCAACTGCCAGAAACTATAATCATAAATAGCAACTATGCAAAAATGAAAACACAATAACATGTTCCATAATCAGCTTACCAAATGGCTCATCAAATTAGGTACTTGATCTTTCATAAGCCACATAAAAAAGGGGAACTTTGGGTTGTGTTCTGTTTCAGGAGCACACTCAGAGCATTTTGTTCTTGAGAGGAAGCAAGACATAATGAAAGAGCACTGAGTTTGAACAGAAGACAATATTCAAGTCCCAGTTCTGCTGACAAGTCATTTACTCAAACTGAACCTATTAGAATAAAGCTTCCCCACCTAGAAAAGTGCATCGATAGAATCAAAGTGAGCTGCTGTCAATAGACTGCATCAATGATCATGTACAATCCAGGTTCTTGTTGATTGCTAGTTTAGGTTTATAAAAACCCGTGCCATCCCAGTGAGAGGCAAGTGCAGACATTCTGGCTGCTAAAGAGTCCCTAAAACGACTATATAGACTACCACGGGCTTAACCTGCCATAGTTAATTTTCAGTGTTCTGGTGACCAAAAGAACAGCTGTCAGCCAGGAAGACAAGAATATGCCTGTTTCAAATCATCAGCAGACCTGCTTAAATTCTAATTTGGTAAAAATGCTACTGGGATACTGTAAGTTTCAATTTCTCATGGTCACTTTGGATTGACAGATGGCTTTGGTTCATTTTACAGATCAATAATTATTTCTAAGGGTAGTTTTAATTTCTTATCAGCTCTGAGGTAAGAAGTATTAATACAGTTCATTGAAAGGAGGCTATATAGTAGAGTGATTAAGGTAGTGGTTCTCAAACTTCCTAATGCTGCGACCCTTTAATACAGTTCCTCATGTTGTGGTGACCCCATTTCATTGTTACAAATTGAACATAATTAAAGCATAGTGATTAATCACAGAAACAATATGTAATTATATATGCGTTTTCCGATGGTTTTAGGCGACCCCTGTGAAAGGGTCGTTCGACCCCCAAAGGGGCCGCGACCCACAGGTTGAGAACCGTTGGATTAAGGGATACAGTTTCTAGGCTGCCTATGTACTCCTGAGTTTGAATCCCAATTATACCAGCTAGCTCTAAGCCTTCATCTCCTCATCTGAAAAAATGAGAAAAATACCTAACTTATAAGAGTTAACACAAAGATTAAACTAAAAATAGCACAGTAATTGGTAAATCGAAAATACTTAATATTAGCTATAATAAAGAGTTCATCTCATGCAGAAAAATTTTCAGAT